TGGCTACCGGCTCCATTAATATTCCATGTGACAAACCTTAAGATGCCCATATTTGTGCTTGTGAAAATATAATTAAACCACACCCATTATCACAAATATCAAAAATAGTAAAACACCCAGACAATAACATAATCCTTAATGATTGATTATTTATGATTTATAGATAAACTAAGTGCTGTTTTTGAAGGTTTATCAGTGTGGTTCTCCCGTGTCGTGTTGGCGATTTTCAAAGCGGCATGCTTCTCATTTTTTATCTTTGTGAAGTTCTCCCACACTTTGGAGGACTTGGGTCGAACAGTTTTCGCTGCGTTGGTCATTTGTAAAATTTACTTAAATTTCCTTTGAAAACACTGTCTCTGCTTTGCTCGCCCCTCGCTCTGTTCAACTCGCGTTGCAGTTTTTTTTTTCAAACTTTATTTAGTCAGTCAGCATTGACAATGAACTGCCCGTGAACAAAACGAAACGACTCCGCAGCGCCGTGAAAGATGCATAATCGCGCAATACAACGAATCAATAACGAAATTCGTTGCCAGCGCTTTTAATCATCGATTTTTATCGATTCGTTGTTGCAGCCCTAATCTTATGCCTTTTTATCAAAGCCATTTGCACATTTGCATTTAACCTTCATTCTTCCTTTGACGATCAGCCTTTACCATTCTGTAGTGGACTAGGCCTCCGACCAAAACCTGCCTCTGAGGACCTTCATGGGACAGGAACTGTTATTTCATTGATTTGAATCCAGAAATACAAATTAGCTCATCCAGAGACTGTCTAATTGTATCCTGAAATAATCAATTGAAAGAACACTCTTCTTTTATATTATCATCACTATTTTATAATATCTTGATAAATCAAAAGTGTGTTTAGTTCATACCATTTTTAAATGTTGAAGTGAACCACTTATTTTAAATCAACTGTGAAACAGTATTAATGATTTTTTAATCCTTATTTATTAGAAATCAAGTTACATGTCTATTTTACAAAGTAATTATGCATTTCTGATCTTCTGTCTGAAATGAGAAGTAGTGATGTCGGTCAAAAGTCGGAGACAGTCAAAAACAAGTTGTTAGAACGGGCTGTCGTGTTTTTAAAACTCTCAGACAGTAAATAAGAAAACTGGCACCTGCAGTGTTTCTCACTTCGCCAAAACATTTCTCTGTAACTAACCATCTCAAAACATTCCTGCTGTTTTCTTGACTTGTAATGACCCTCTGACATCACTAGAACCACACCCCGGTTGGTTGCTTCAACCAATCAGGACGTACTAAAGTGACCGGAAGCAGAACTCTTTAAAAGTCGACACTTCCTGTAACTATTCATGTCTGGAGTAGTTCTGGAGTGATATTCTGGGAGAGTTCTAGCTGTTCTGGAGTTCTGGAGTTTTTCCACTGCTGAGTGGAACTTCGGACTCCATTTTCCAGTCTGATGGAGCCATCCATCTCTGCAGGAGCCACGACGCCTCACTGTGGCTCCACCAGGCGAATGCCCTACAACTTCTGAGGAAGTTTGTTCTGTTGAACGGAGTATCTCACGACTTCTGCTGAGTCGCAGCTGCCCTGAGGAGACGCTGAAAGGTAGCGTGCTAGACCTCTTGACCGTAGCGGACCCATCCTCTGCCAAGGTAAAGAGTCGTTGCGAGCTTCATGCACTAAGTGGACTGCGGGCGAGCTGCGTTTGAAAGGAGCGTGTTGTTCTGGTCCACAGACATACATCTTCCTTCAACATCTTCCTTTAAATTCCTCCATTTTTTCTATCTTTAAACTTCTATCTTGCCATCATTAATCTAGATGCCTTCAGAAATGTCTGTTATTTTATTAAGTAAAACGTGCCAAGTTTTATTAATCAGAACCAGATTAGTCTAATCAAGTGTACAATGTTTTGATGTTAAATTTTGATTCTGTTCAATAAATGACCACATTTATTTTGATGGGTCAAAGAAAATTAACATCTCATGTCACTGATTAAACCATCTACGCACAGTTATCTCTGTCACATGGCTGTAATTAGCTCGAAAAAGAGAGAACTCGTTATTTAAATATAATTGTAGTGAAGCTCCAAAGCTAACCTAGCCCTTAGGACACTACAATTCCAAGTTTTTGAAAGAGGTTTTTTAATTCTGTGGGTTTCTGTATTTTAACATTTTTAAACTCCTGCCTTTGTCTAGGAATTGTCCCTGCCGCATTTAAACATGCTGTGGTTAGGCCCCTTCTTAAAAAAACCTCACCTAGACCCATCACTTTGATCAAATTTTAGACCTATTTCTCATCTGCCTTTTTTTAGCTAAAGTCTTAGAAAAAGTTGTTTTTATGCAGTTACAACCTGTTTTAGAAAACCATGGTATTTATGAAACATTTCAGTCTGGATTTAGAACCCATCATTCTACCGAATCAGCCCTGTTAAAAGTCTATAATGACATTTCCATGTCCATGGATGCCAAGTGTCCCGTTGCTCTGGTGCTGCTGGACCTTACAGCTGCGTTTGACACAGTGGACCACGCTGTCCTGTTGTCTCGTCTCCAACATTATGTTGGAATATCTGGTACAGCACTCAAGTGGTTCACTGCCTATTTGACCAACAGAACATTCTCTGTCATGCTGGATAATCTGTCTTCCTCCACTGCCCCTCTCTCTTGTGGTGTGCCACAGGGTTCTATTCTTGGTCATGTCCTCTTCTCATTGTACATGCTGCTCCTTGGATCAGTGATAACCAGACATCATTTTTCTTTTCACCGCTATGCTGATGATGTACAAATTTATTTACCAATGAAACCTAAAAACAGTAACCTTCTCACACCTTTCGCTGACTGTATTGCCGACATTAAACAGTGGCTTCATCGTAATTTTTTGTTTTTAAACTAATTAAAGACAGAAGGCATCTTCTTTGGTGATGATGCTCCTTGTAACTTTGGTGCTCTGACATCTACGTTCAGACCCACAGTTAAAAACTTGGGGGTGACATTTGATAAGGACTTAAAGTTTGATGAACAAAAATCCTCTGTAGTCAAGGCCTGTTTTTATCAGTTACGTCTTTTATCCAAAGTTAAGCCTTTTTTAAATCGTTCTGATTTGGAAAAGGCCATTCATGCTTTTATAACTTCAAGGCTCGACTACTGCAATTTCCTATATGCAGGAATCTCCCAATCCTCCATTAGACGCCTGCAATTGGTCCAAAATGCTGAGCTCGACTTTTAACCAACGCCTCCAGACGTGAGCACATCACCCCTGTTTTATTTTCTCTCCACTGGCTTCCAGTCAATTTTAGAATTAAATTTAAAATTTTATTCTTCACTTTTAAAGCTCTCAATGGTCTTGCCCCATTGTATCTGACTGATCTTGTAGATGTCCGTGAATATAGGAGAACACTGAGATCATCTAATACATTTCTACTCTTTGTCCCAAAGTCCAACTACAAACGATGGGGTGACCATGCCTTTTCGGTTGTTGCACCCAGACTCTGGAACCAGCTACCTCTGGACTTGCGCTCCATCACTGATATGGAGCATTTTAAATCTAATCTTAAAACCTTTTTATTCAGGCAGGCTTTTAATACCTACTAGTTCTTTGACAATCTTGCTATGTTTTAATTGTTTTTGTTTTTAACTGGCTGATTTTTTTTATTCTTATTTGTTTGCTTTTAACTTCTGTATTGTGCAGCACTTTGTGCACCTTTTGGCAGCTGGAAAGGGTTCTATAAATAAAGTTTGATTGATTGATTGATTTTATCTTTAACCTTTTACCTTTAACATTCAGCCCTTAACCTTCCGTTTTGATGGTGTCTCATCTTTTCTTTTTCTGCTTGACCTCGACGAAGGCAAACGCTGTTCCTCCTGCTCCTGCTTCCCTCCTGTTTCTGCTCTTGGTCCTGTGAACCTTATAGGAGCCTCTCTTTACATATCAAATTATAAATTATGGATTTGATCAGCTGGTCTCTCAACGCAATTGATCGAATTTTCGCGACGAGAAGACGGGGAGAAGGAGAGCCCTCCTGCCCTGACAGGACACTCGCAGCTGGATACACGATGGATTCCTGGGGGCAGTGGAAGATCGTGTGTCTGTCCATATTTTCGGTTGAGGATGTAGAAGACGTGCACATAATTGGATTTATGATAACAGGATTTCTGCTTTTTGGAGTTGGTGGTTGCCTGGCATATCGACAAATACAACAAACGTTGGCAGCTGTTCTGGCCATTGTGAGGCTGCCCAGCTTGCGTGAAGGAATGTGCCGTGCTGTCAACACTCAGACTCAGATGCTGTGTGAACTGAGCCGTAAGCTGAACGTGGTTTCTGAGAATCGCAGGCCACTTGCAGCTCCTGAAACTCGCTGGTGGGAGGGAATTGACCTTGGAGAAGCTATAAGCTCGGCCCGGCGGTGCTGACCATAAAAATTTGGCTGTTTGGAGTCTCCTTTGAGACATACCAGTAGAACTATAAGGCAAACAGAAATTAACCAGAGTCAGCCTGACCCATAACAACTGTTATCTGACGGCTCTCCCATGTTGGCCTTGAATTGGCCAACAATCTCAAACTCTCCTGGATGTTATGTGAACAAGAAGCTCTGCTCCCCCACTCCCTACGCCTTCCCGAGGACATCTGTGGATCTGTGTCAGAGCTGAGCCAGCTGATAAACACTGCACCAGCTCTTACCCAGACTATGGCTGGAGGAGAACTATCTGGTAGTGTCCACGGACTTACCTCCCCTCAAACTCAACGCCGTCATCGGCCTTCCTCATGCATATGTATTGTAATATCAATATGGTGCTATTTTTATGCTGAGTTTTTTTTTTTTTTTTCAACTTTCACACTGTGTTCTGTCAAGGACACAGGCGTTGTGTTTCTCTTTTCCTTATATCAATGAAAATGGCAGCGCCTCCAACAAGGCCACAGCCTCAGACACCTCCGTCTACCCATGTTTGTTTGTTTGTTTTTCTTGGACGGGTTATACTGAAATGTAATTTTGTTGTGCTTCGGTGCGGTGACAATAAAACTGATTCTGATCTGCAGGAGATCGATGTGGAGGTGAGGAAGGAAATCGAAGATGCTGCTCAGTTCGCCACCACGGATCCTGAACCCCCTCTGGAGGAATTGTGCAACCACATCTATCACAACAACTCGCCGACCGAGGTGCGCGGCACCAACCCGTGGGCCAAGCTCAAGTCCATTAGCTAAAGTTCAAGTTGAATCGTCAAGCCAAAACCATACTGTCACAGGTGCACACATCCCATAATGCACCACAAACATCAAAAGCGTCAGCCATTAATTTACTTCCACCTTTAACTGACGGGCCTCATTTACAAAAATGTTCTGAGGATTAAACTACCATTAAAATGTAAATGTTCCCTTCAGTTCTACTCAAACTACTCTGACTCTGACTCTGAGTAGTGTCACCGTTAAAGAAGCTACTGCCTGATTTTCACTTTCCTCACTTAATTTAATTTAATTTTTTATGCCCTTTAAAGCAGATTCTATCCTGAACTGATATTTCCATAAAAACGTTAATTAGAAAAAAAAAAAAACTGTTGACCTCAAGTGCATTAATGGTCATTGTTGCCACAGATTGGTTATTTTTTTATTAAACATCATATTGAGCCAAATTATCTTTGTTTTAGAGTTTTAATTGTAAATCTATTAAATTTGAGAGGTCCTGGAAGATTATTTGAGCTCATGACTTTCCTGTAAAAGTTATAAATAGAAACATGAGTTATAGAAACATGAGTTCTCTATTTATTTAAGTTTTATTTTGCCAGCATTGAGTGTTGTTTTTGTAAATCTGGCTCCCTGGGAGTGTGGGTTGTATCTTCTGGATTTGCTTTCTGATGTTAAGCTCTGATTTTTAAGGGCGGTTAAGTATATATCATCTGTAACTCAAAAACAAGGCAACCTGTAAACGTTTTACTCTGTAAGTGATAAATAATTCAACGTGACATAATCAGTTTGTGTCATCTTTTCATGTTCAGTGTGGTTGCCAAAATCTGTATTCTCAAATCAACCACGTGCCTGACAGATCTGTGCTTTAGTCCCACTGTTAGCTGAATTAATGGTTCTGTTATTTTACAAATACTCCTGTACTTCATTAGGTTTTCACAAAAGCTCATTTAATATCTGACATATGCATTGTAGGATTCATCCATCCATCCATTATCTTTACCTGTTTATTCCATTTTGGGTCACGGGGGTCGCTGGTGCCCATGTCCAGCAATCACTGTGCGAGGGGCGGGGTACACCCTGGACGGGTCGCAAGTCCATCACAGAGCCACATAGAGACAAACAACACAAACAACCATTCACTCTCTCACTCACGCCTAGGGACAATTTAGAGTTACCAATCAGCCTAACATGCATGTTTTTGGTCTGTGGGAGGAAACCGGAGCACCCGGAGAAAACCCACGCATGCACGGAGAGAACATGCAAACTCCACCCAGAAGGCCCCTGGACCGGGGTTTGAACCAGGGACCTGTTCGCTGAGAGGCAGCAGCTCTACCAGTTGCGCCACCGTGCTGCCCGCATTGTAGGATTATTATCTCTTAAATGTTAACACTTAAAGTTCAAAAGGAAATAAGTTACAACAGGATGCCTTGGCGTTCAGAAGTTCAGCTTTCTTTTGTCAAACGAGGTAACGTCATCTTGTAACTGACTCCAGAGAGGATGTTAAGAGGTAAGACTTTTTGTGAGGTGTGTTTATGGAATAAAAAATTAAATTTTTAAATGTCAACATGAACCTAATGGCATTTTGTGGGAAAGCTGTTACGTTCAGGTGAGCGGCAGGTTTTTTGATTATGATTATGGGGATGATAAATGGTTCATCACTACACTGGTAATTTATTAAGTTTTACCTGCTAACCAGGTGAAGTCTTTCAGTGATCTTCTCCATGTCATCAAAGGATGTTTTCCCAGTTGCCAGAGAGAGGGGCTGCAGGTGAAAGAACCAGTTTTCCTCTGAAGTTAAACCACTTGTGGACGTAACTGATGGCAGTGTTTAAGAGGGCTGTAAACTCCTGCCTGGCAACATCAGCTTCAGATGGCAAGACGCTGAAGCTTTTGTCTTGTTAGGTAGAACCCATCATCTCTTCTTTGTATTAGTCAATGTCTGCTTGTTCATCTCCAGGATCATCTTCTGTCAACCTCAGCAATGCTTTCAGGTGGCTTTGACATTCCTCTCCAATGCTGATGAGATGTCCTCAAAATGTACAGTTTCTTTTCCACCTCTACAAAAAGGAGAGAATCCCTGAAAGTGTTCTGCAAATTCTGTGATGTTGAATTTCATGATGTTTTCCACATCCACTGAGAGCTTGTCCAGCTTTTTTCACGGTGTTATGGACAACATGTGCATGGCAGTTACCACAAAGGATCTCACTGTTGACCTCTCTGTTTTGTGAAGACCGAGTTGTGGATGCCATAACTGACATTTTTGTTGTCAGCACTGAATGCAACATGATCTATGGGTAGATCTGTGTTTCCAAGAGAGCTTCGTATAATTTTGACTGTCCCCTCATCAGATTCTTCTGGATTTTCAACAGAATTTATTACCTTGCCGACTACCCCATTCTCTGGTGTGAAAAACTGCACAGCCAAGGAAAACATCTTCCCATTTCCCTTGTTTGAGGCATCTGTGCGAAGGGGGAATGGGTTCATATTTTTTCCTCCACATTATTTTAACAGTTAATACATTTACTGTGTTCTATTATAAATAAAATATGGGTTTATGAGAGTCACAGATCATTATATTTTGTTTTTACATTTTACACAACTGCCCAACTTGGTCAAATTTGAGCTTGTATAATCATCCTTTTATACTTAAAAATGTGCACAAGTATGACTCTTTCCTCACCTAACGAATGCCAAAACAGGTACATTTTGTATAAAGAATTAAAATTTGTAAATATTAAACGTGCAGTTCACATAATGCTTGGGGAAATAATAGTGTATTAAAATCCAGGCCAAAGCGAATAAAACCTGAAGAGTAGTAGCAGCTTTACTCCAGTAGGTGGCAGTAATGCAACTATAAAGTCATGTTGCATACAGGTGTCGAACACCTCTGCACCAGGTTGGTTGGATTGGAACAGGTACTACCAGGAGACTTCACCTTAGTTTAAGAGAATTTAATTCACACCACAGTTAAAGCTTTACATTGACAGATAACCAAAAATACATTTTCGGGAGACAATCAGAGCAATTAAGAGTACTTCACCTTAGTCAGAACAAAAGCTGCTCACCCCAGATTGTCTGACCAGACTTCCTGTGTCCTCATGTTTTTAAACTGTCCTTGGTGACGCCTCTTTTGAGAGGAGGAACGTCTTACTATCAGATGTTTCTAGTGCTGAGGCCTGTCGTCGCTACAGCAACGACTTAACTCCCACCTTGCAACTATAACTCAGTCTTGTGCCTGCTATATGCGGCTTATCCTCCAAGACTGGGCCTCTGAGGGCAAGGCCGTCTGTCTGGCCATAGTGTTATCAGGAGCTGTGTGTTCTTAAAAGAATCATTAGTGCATAACTGTTATTTTCTGTGCTGCCAAGTGTCTGCAGCAGACGGATCACAACTTGAGAAAAGTGAAAATATAGATTGAACAAAGTGTGGATCGGTTAAATCTACTTATAAATGGTACATGTTGCTATAATAAATGTTAATAATAAATGTTAACTATGTTTTGTTTACAAATCACTTATAAAAGATAACTGTTAACTATCTAAAAAAGTTAAATCTGGTCCTCTGGACATTCAAAAAAACAAAACAAAGCAAATCAACAAAAAAATGTAGAAACGTTTCGTCTCTCATCCGAGAGACTTCCTCAGTCTGAGGAGCTGTATTCAGCTCAGTCTCTTAAATAGCACCGTCTCAGAGTGGATCAACCAGTTTTGCTGCTGACAACCAAAACCAGCTGATCACATGCTCAAGAAGGACCATCAGCCTAATAATGGATCATTAGCACACTGATGGCTGTTTACTGTTCACAGAGGGCTGAGTGATACTAGCAATCACAGCATTATAAGAGGGGGACAGTTGAACACGTAGGCCTCCACCCCTGTTTAACGATGGACGATTTATTTTCACAAAGATGGCCTCCTTTACTCCTCTCTCAAACCATCGTTCCTCTCTATCCAGGATGTGAACATCTTCATCCCTGAAAGAGTGACCGCTGGCCTGGAGATGAGTGTAGACCGCAGAGTCCTGGCCTTATGATGTTGATCTTCTGTGCAGGGCCATCCTTTTGGCCAGTGGCTGTTTTGTTTCCCCGATGTAAGACTGATCACAGCCCTCCTGACACTGAACAGCATACACAACATTGCTCTGTTTGTGCCGGGGGACTGGATCTTTGGGATGAACCAATCTTTGCCGTAATGTATTTTGGGGTTTAAAAGCCACTGGGACGTTATGTTTAGAAAATAAACGTCTCAGTTTCTCAGATACTCCCTCAACATATGGAATGACCACTGGTCTGGGTCTGGGTTCTTCCTTTTCACCTGTTGGCTGACTGGAGTCCTGTTTGGGTTTCTTCTCTGCTTTCAGGAAGGCCCAGTTAGGATATCCACATTGCTCTAGAGCCTGTCTTGTGTGGGATTTCTCCTTCTGCCTGGCTCCTGAGCTAGTGGGGACGCTGTCTGCTCTGTGATACAGAGTCCTGATGACTCCTAACTTGTGCTCCAAAGGGTGATGGGAGTCAAACTGCAAATACTGGTCTGTGTGGGTGGGTTTGCGGTACACCTTGGTTTGCAAATGTCCTCTATCAGAGACTGAGACCTCACAGTCCAAGAAAGCCAACCTGCCATTTTTTACATCTTCTCATGTGAACTTGATGTATTTATCCACAGAGTTGATGTAGTCAGTAAAATGTTGGACTTCCTGAGATTTAATTTTAACCCAGGTGTCGTCAACATACCTGAACCAATGACTTGGTGGTGTTGTGTATGCTGTTCAGTGTCAGGAGATCTGTGATCAGTCTTACATCGGGGGAAACAAAACAGCCACTGGCCAAAAGGATGGCCCAGCACAGAAGATCAACATCATCAGGCCAGGACTCTGCGGTCTACACTCATCTCCAGGCCAGCGGTCACTCTTTCAGGGATGAAGATGTGCACATCCTGGATAGAGAGGAACGATGGTTTGAGAGAGGAGTAAAGGAGGCCATCTTTGTGAAAAGAAACCGTCCATTGTTAAACAGGGGTAGAGGCCTACGTGTTCAATTGTCCCCCTCTTACAATGCTGTGATTGCTCGTATCACTCAGCCCTCTGTGAATAGTAAACAGCCATCAGTGTGCTAATGATCCATTATTAGGCTGGTGGTCCTTCTTGAGCATGTGATCAGCTGGTTTTGGTTGTCAGCAGCAAAACTGGTTGATCCACTCTGAGACGGTGCTATTTAAGAGACTGAGCTGAATACAGCTCCTCAGACTGAGGAAGTCTCTCGGATGAGAGACGAAACGTTTCTACATTTTTTTGTTGATTTGCTTTGTTTTGTTTTTTTGAATGTCCAGAGGACCAGATTTAACTTTTTTAGATTTTTCTACCTGGATTATTGAGCATGCATCAGGATATGAACTGTTAACTATGTTTTGATTAAAATCATTTATAAAAGATATATGTTAACTCTGGCTTC